ATTTTTATTTTTAAAAAAATTTAATTTTAATATTAAATTTTTTTTATTTTAGTATTTTATTTACTTTTTTAATTTTAATATTTAAATTTTTTATTGTAATATATATTTTTTTTTAATTAATTTTTTTATTTTCGTCCCTGCTTGTTAGCTGGCCAGGGAGGGGGGCTCTCATTCCCTGGTGGTCCAGTGGATGGGCTGTGTAGGAGGGGGGCTGGCAGAGAGCTGTTACTTACCTTTCCGTCAGCTCCCTTCTCCTCTGGTCCGGTTAGCTCCACTGTAAGTCTCGCGAGAGCCGCGGGGTCAGAGCGTTGCCAAGGGTTACACAGCGAGACTTACAGTGGAGGAGAAGGGAACTGACAGGAGCTGCAGGAAGGTAAGTAACAGCTATCTGCCAGCCCCCAACAGGACCGCCGGGCTTGTAATGAGCCCGGCGGTCCTGGTCTGTATTATGGCAATGTAAGTTGCCATAATACAGACACTGACTCAAGTATAAGTCGAGTGGGGGTTTTTCAGCTCAAATAATGTGCTGAAAAACTAGACTTATACTTGAGTATATATGGTATTTCTTAGCTGTCTGAGGGTGATTGGAATATTGCTGCTCTTCTCAAATACTTTGACTCTGTTTTATGGCACTAGTACATTGGCAATGCAGCCTTTGGTATGTTTAAGGGACGCTCCACTGCCTAAATAGAAAAATAACTGTTTAGTAGGTACATTGCAAATAAAAACAAGTATGCATTTAATAATGCATATTTTAATTGGGAGTCTATCTAAAAAACAGCTTGCAAAAAGCTGTAGTTCTTTCCTGCTGCATTTGCAAGCCCCTTTCTTCTCCAGACTGTGTTGCTGTCCAATCACAGACTTCCCAATGCAGCTCAGTTAAAGGACCACTATAGTGCCAGGAAAACATACTCGTTTTCCTGGCACTATAGTGCCCTGAGGGTGCTTTCCTATGGACGCTTGCGTGCTCTCACTGTGAAAAATCACAGTTAGAAGCACGCAAGCGCCTCTAGCAGCTGTCAATGAGACAGCCGCTAGAGGAAATAGGGGAAGGCTTAACCCATTCATAAACATAGCAGTTTCTCTGAAACTGCTATGTTTATGAAAAAATGGGTTAACCCTAGCTGGACCTGGCACCCAGACCACTTCATTAAGCTGAAGTGGTCTGGGTGCCTAGAGTGGTCCTTTAAGAAGTATTTGCAAGGTAGGTGCTCTGAGCAATTTCTGCCTTTTGAGTTTAGCTCTACTGAACCAAACAAACCATGAAATAACAGGATCTGTTGTAACAAGGTTAAT